ACAAGGATGGAATGGGAGATTGACAGGTGTAGCCAGAATCTGGTTGGCCACCCCTGGTACCACCTCTGCCAGAGTCAAAACTGTTGCCTTAAATACAACAAATATTTGTATAATTAATATTGGTCAAAAATGGTTTATTTTACATGATTTATGCAGCATGATATTTGCATTTATTTCTCTGATTGTGCTGCTGTGGAGTACTTGGCCAAAAGAATTTTCTACAGACATTGGCCCTTTTCAATAAAAAAAACAAGCCTGCAGTGGAAACCTGGCACAGTGCCGGAGAACTTTAAGCCCTGCAGTGGTGTATCGATACGCTGATGGTCAAAGGCAGACGGCTTTGGCTGACATCTCCCACCACAGCTCACCGTTCAGGGGAGTCACTTCAATGAAGGTACGTTTTAAACTGCAGCTGAAAGTTAGCTTTAGGCTAACTCTGGTACAATACATCAAAGGGCAACATTTATGCTTAATATTGTACACTGTTGGAAAAAACACAAAAGGCTGATTTTCACTGAGGTCAGAGAAATATTCAGCACACACCACCTGCACCCCAGCTGGGCAAAGTGAGTAAGGAGACATATATTGTGAATATTGTAGAGCCAAATGACACACAAGGGAATTTTAGGGGGAAAAAAGCTGTTAATGCTCTTGCAAAGAGAAAATCTGTCTGGAGTCAGTTTTGTTATTGTAATTTATTGGATTTACCTTTACACTGTTGGATAATGAAACAAATGTATTTATTGCCTTATAAAAACCAGGTCTCAAGTTGGGTTTTAGTCCAGTGCTTTTTGTTTTGTTTGTTGTGGACTTTTGAGAGAAAATTAGTTTGCCAAATGTGCATAAAATCCCATTTAATGTGCAATTCTTTCAACTTGTGTATTGTAGCTTTTCCAACTTGGGCAACACTTGCTACATGAACGCCATCTTACAATCCCTCTTCAGCCTCCCATCCTTCTCCAGTGATATGCTAAGGCAGAGTATTCCATGGAAGAAGGTGCCCATCAATGCATTGCTGAGGTACTACATTAAGCTCATTCAATATTTGTAGACAGCTACAGATTGTAGGCAGACATTGTGATTCGATTATATCCGCAGATGCACGAGTTAACTTTTTTCTTTTTTTTTTTTTTTTTGAACGGTTTTGATCTTGTGAATAGGTGCAGTCAGTGTCAAAAAAAAAAAAATGACCAGAACAAATGATGTTAGTCTACAGAATGTCATACAAAGTAAACTATGTAATACAAATCTAGCCAAATATTAATTTAAATACCTGCATAAAATTATTTGTTCATGTGCATTGGTAGTTGATCTTTTTTTTTTGTTTGTTTATTTTCAAAACCTGCAGAGAAAAGAGCTTTTAATAGTTTTTGGGTAGTTGTTGAAAAGTTGCGAAAGGACAAATTGTAAAAGCTTTTAATTTATTCTGTGTGGTATCTACACTCCCTGCAGGCGTTTTGCTCACCTCATGGTCAAAAAGGATGTGGGCTGTCCAGAGACAAAAAAGGACCTCTTAAGGAAAGTGAAGAGTGCCATCTCTTCCACAGCTGAGCGTTTCTCTGGAAACATGCAGAATGTAAGATGCTCCCCTAGAATCAACAGTTCAGCAGCAGCACTCATCTGCTGGTACTTTAAAAAGTACCTTAAGAAAAAAAGTATAGTTGTTGCATATGGATGTCATGCTACACACTATATCAGAAAAAATACAAATTTTAATAATATTCAATACCATAATATATAGTCTGTGAAACTGTTATCTGCTCTTGTATGAATGTAAAAATCAGCAAATCTCAACATCTAGTGTCTAATATATGTAATAATTATGATAATAATCACCATTATTTTGGCCAAGTATGTTATACACACACACACAAGGAATTTGTTTCCGGTACAGAACCAAGGCAGCCATCTGTGGCGCCAACTCAACCGATGGCTCTAACCATCGGGTGCAACAGGGGGTTCAGTGTCTTGTCCACTTCAACATGTGATGTACAGTTATAACAGAAACAAACAACCCTGATCTTGTATTTATTCATTATACTTAAGTTCTTTTGTGTTGCAATGTTGATCAGGATGCTCATGAGTTCCTGAGCCAGTGTTTGGACCAGTTGAAGGACGAT